GCTTCAATAGACTTTCACAAGCAAGAAGTGATCCTTCACAAGGTGAATAGTTTGGTGTCATATCGCTTGCAGCCTAGAGGTTCAGACTTTTGTGCCACAATTGACAGTACCAATCTCAGTTCTAAGAGTCATGGAGCTACAAAGGTTGTGAAGGAAAGGGTTGACAAGGAACCAAGAGTTGGGAAGGATAAGGATGAGAGAGGACCAAGGATTGAGAAGCCACGTCTTGAGAGGGCTAGAGTTGAGAAACCACGTCTGATAGGCCAAGAGCTGAGACTTGTTCAAGCCCCTTGTGTGCTTGATGAAGAGAGCCTTCAAGCTTTGTTTGATGAGCCACTAGGAAGGGCTCTAAAAGAAGGGGAGGATGTAGCCTCTAAGGCAAGACCAGGGATAAAAGAAAAGATCCACCAGCTCAGGCCCCTTCATCAAGCCATCTCAGCTCACAATGACTTTGTTCCCCACCAAGTTTGAAAATGGGAAGATTGAGTACAAGATAAGGTACAAGGGGAGATCAAGGCCATTCTCTAGAGCCAAGGCCTTGGTGACTTCAGAACAGTCCAGGGACCCAACCAAGCTAAAGGAGCTTCTGTCTCAAGTCCTCACTATCACCCTTGATGGTGGGACTAGCTCAACCAATGCCTAAGAAGGTAAAGGTCAAGCTATGGGACCTTAAACAAGCTCACTTGGGAGGAAGTCCCATGTTTATCCTTGTACATACTCTATTTATGCAATTTCTATCTATCTTTATGTTTTTAACCTTTGAATAAGTTAAGTTTAGGTGTCAAGGAGCCAGCTCGACCGACAGCTCGATCGAGCTAGAAACCAGGGCAACTCGATCGAGTTCCTCAACTCGACCGAGGTAAGTTTTTGAATTTCAAATTCATAACCGTTTTCTTGGTCAAGGGAGTGGGTCCCACAAGCTGATTTTGGTCCCCCACTACCCTAATTTGATCAGAGAAACCCTAGCTTCTTGTCCCCTCTTTATTTCACTTTTAATCTCAACCACACATCTCAAACACTCCCTCTTCCCCATAACTCGATCGAATCCACCTTCTCCACTCTCCCACACTTAAAATTTCTGAAACCATCTCTCTCTCTCTCACCACAAGAAATTTCGAATTTCAACTTTCTCTCTTAAGTTTTTGCGATTTCTCTTGTTCTTCATTGTTTGTTGGGTTTAGTTTCTGTTCTTAATTCATCATTCAACAAGGTATGAACCCTAAACCCTTGATTCTTCCATCTCGATTTCCATTATTGCTTGTTTCCTCTTTGATTTTTGATTGCATGTGTCCCTTGTGGACTTGTTCTTGAGTAATTGCTTTATATCATCTCCTGTTATTTTGTATAATTGTGAATTTGCCTCACCTCACCTCTGTTTTCATTTGAACTTGTTGCATGTGCTTGAAAATTGAATTTGAGTTTGGTATTGGTTAAGGTGCTATGTTTTCACTAGAATTGCTCATTGTTCCATTTACTAGTTGTTCTTGGTTCAATTTGATTGATTAGCATCCTTTCCAGCTCTTAATACTTGAATTAGGTTTGGTTATACTCTGTTTTCACCTAGCTCGATCGAGTTTGTCACTCGAGTTTTTTGACTCGATCGAGCTGAGTGTCGAGTTGACCAAACCGATCATTGCAACTCTAATTCTTTGTAATCTTTGATGCATTTCAGGTACTTTAGTGAAGAAACAGTGTAACAAGATGACAAACAGTGAGGGAAGTCGCGCTTCACAGAGGAGAATGGTTGAGGGTGAATCAAGCAATGCAAGGGAAAGAAGGCTTAAGATGCAAGCCGATTTGGAGAGGATGATCAGAGGATGGAAGAATCTGATGCAGAGGGTATGTGTACTCTGAGGAAGTCTGAGAGTGAGAGATTGAGGGAGAGGAGGACCAAGAAGAGGAATGACCCCATTAGTAGTGAGAGTGAGCAAGGGGAGTTTGAGATTGGAGTGAACCTTGTTCAAGAGGAGGGAAATGGTCTCCAAGTGAAGAAGGAGTGATGAGACTGAGAGTGAAGAGGAAGGAGAAGAGGTGAATCAGTTGGTTGAAGAGAGTGAGCAAGAGAGTAACCAAGATGAACCTATGGAGGAGGTTGAGCCACAAGAGGAGCAAGAGGAGGAGGAAGAACTCCCTATGTACCAAGAGCATTACAATGCCCTCTTCTCCATGGACTTCATGGACCAAGTACCCACATGTTGACACAATGAAGGCCCTTGGAATCTTTGAAGATGTGGAGCTATTCTCAAGAACATGCACTTGGCCAAGCTTTTCTCTTATCACATGGAATCCTACAAGGAGCTCACTTGCGAGTTCTTAGCTTCAATGAGGTACCACATGTACGATGAGGAAGATAGAGCTGATTTGGACCAAGGATTGGGATGGATCACGTTCTTGGCTAAGGGAGAGAAGAGAATGGTGACCTTTAGGCAGTTGGAGATCTTGTTTGGGTTCAACTATGGAGAAGGTACCAAGTGGAACTTCAAGGAAAAGGAACTCCAAAGGGTTTGGGCTACAATCGCTGATGGAGTGTACTCTTCCTCAAGGTCCAAGGCAGCTCAGATCAGGAGCCCAGTCTTGAGGTATGTGCACAAGGCACTTGCCAACACCTTCTTTGCAAGGAAGGCGACCGGGACATAACGAGGGGGAACTCAAGTTTCTTGACATGGGAATCAAGCCCATCTCTCACGCACAAGCGATGGCAAGAGGATAAGGGGAGATAGATCTGACACAGGGAACTTGATGCCTTTCCTTGACCATCTCCTCACCTACAAGATCACAGCCTACAACACTAGACATCAACGAGGAAGGCGCCTAAGTGTTGGAGGGCTCATCACACCTATCTTGTGTGCTGCTGGAGTGAACCCAACTGATAGGAGAGCCACTGAACCAGGTTGGATGGACATCAAGTTTTGCAAGACCAACCTTCTCATTGAGCACAAGGAGTTGGATGGGAGGTTCCAATTCAAGTTCACACATCCATTGGTTGGACCCTCCAAGTTTCTCCTGCCCAACCCAGAGCTCACCACAGTAGTAAGGGGTGAGAACATTGACTTCAGACCCCCTGTGTACACATTAGTTGGGCATGAAGGGATTTGCGAGAAGAGGAGATCGAGCTCGATCGAGCTGAGGATCGAGCTGAGTCGAGCTGAGATCAGGTCCAGGAGAGTGCGGATTTGGGTGAGCCTGAGTGCTATTACTTTGAGGAGTATGAGGCTCCAAGGATGAACCCCTCTGTTGTGGCTGCCCACAAGAGGATTGGACTTCTCCAAAAGTTCAACAAATGGCAAGGGAAAGCCATTGAGAAGATGCAAAAGTCCATGGACAAGATGGTGAGCAAGATCAAAAGTTTGGAGAAGAAGGTTTCTGGTTCTTCAAGCAAGAAGAAGAAGTCCAAGGCCCCCACATTCCTAGGAGTAGATCTCTCTCACCACTCCAAGGAGGCTCCCTGCCCAAGAGCCTCACAGAGCCTCTTCTTTCGAGCCAAGGGAAGGAGAAGACAACTCGCAGAGAAGGAGGAAGACTTCCAAGGCCAGACGCTCCAGCTCGACCACGGACTCGATCGAGTCCAAACAGAGGAAACTCAACTCGATCGAGCTGACGGTCGAGTTGACCTGGAGGAGCCCCTTTGTATGAGAATCCTGGGATTTGAGTACGATCAACGCAGTACCAGGACTTCTCCCAGTAGACTCCCTACAACCGGAGCAAGCCAACTCCACCAAGGCCAAGGGAGCCACACACACTTTGAAGAAGAAGGAAGAAGAGGAGCCGCAAGCTCGATCGAGTGAGGCGAACCCAGTTGAGTGGAGTGCTCCTGATGGCCGTCTACCATCTCCAGACCACGACCTAGCCTCCCAGTTCTTTGGGGGGCACTGAGGTATCCAAACACAACCCTTGTATATACCATTTCATATTTTCTTGCATTTGTTCTTGTTTTTTCTTGGTTTTGCCCTCTTGAATCTTTCACTAAATTTTTCTCACACAAGGGACTGTGTGATTTAAGTTTGGGGGAGGGTTCAAGAGATGATTTAACCTTGTTTTCTTTGTTCTTAGTTTTTCATTCATCTTTTGCATAGAAAAACCAAAAAAATCATAAAATTTTCAAAAAATCCAAAAATATTTTCATCTTTTTGCATTCATATTTGTTAGACTTGTTTAGGATTGCATCTTTCACTTGCATTGTTGATTTGACTTTGAAAACTTGTTCATCTTTTGCGATTTCTTGAGTGCCCTGTTTTTAGATTCTTTTGTGCATTAGGGTGAGATTGATTGAGCAGCAAGAACCATGTTTATCTTGATCATATCACTGCATGCACATCTCATTCAACCATTGCTGTGATTTGATGCATTTCCCTATCTATTTGAACCATAACTTGATCTTTAATTACCAATGCTTGCATTTGATTTCAACTCATGGCTACCACATACATATCTGGACATTCTTTACCATTTTCATATCCCTCTTGCTTGTCCAGATAGCTGATCTCCTATCTTTGAGACAGTTACCACACCTTAAACCTAAGCCTTTTCATTTCAAACCCCATATTATCTCTTGTGCGATTGTGAGAACCTTTCTTGGCTTTGCTTAGCATAAGGTGTTGTGTTTAAACCGGCAGGAGCAGTAGTTCTAGTTGTCTAGTTCTCTTGGGATTGTTTTCAGGCTAAGTTTGGGGGTGCCAACTCGAGCTCGATCGAGTTGGGTGTAAAAACCAGAAAAGTGGTAAAAATTGGGAAAATCCAAAGAAAAAGAGTTTAGTTAAGTCCAGGGAGTTGGCAGTGTTTAAAAAGGGTCTAGTAAAGGTTTGGGAAGTTAAAAAAGAAGTAAAAAGGGTTCTAAGTAGAATGAAAAGAAGGCAAAGCCTCAAGTGTCAAAAAGAAAGAAAAGTTCCCTAAGTGTTTAGAAAATCCCAAACCGCTAGATGTTACCTCAAGAAGCCTCTCCCTAGGAAGTTCTTAAAAGAAAAGTGAGCAAAGCTCCTCAGTTTCAAAGGCGAAATGCCAAAAAGGGTAGTTAGGATTTTGTTCTAAAAAGCTCTAAGTGTTGAACTCGATCGAGTTAGGATTAGGCGGCTCGAGCTGCTGTTCTTGCATCATCTTTGGTTCTAACACTTAGCCTTCTGCCAAAGCAAAGCCACTTTCTTGAGAGATCCCTGTTACTAAACCACCATACAAAAGAGACCCTCTTTGTCTCTTAACCCATAAACCCTTGAAACCAAATGAGTTGATTGATCTTGCATGTTTTTGGTTCACTGTTTTTGCTTAATGAATGTTAAAGGGATTTGCTGATTTGAATGCATTGTTTGAGTGACTGTGAAGTGGGATTGATGTTGATAAGCATGGTTAAATCTTAATGAATATCTCTCACCTTGTTGCATTCTAGAATCTCTAAGTTGGACATTTAGCAAATCGCTTTTGAGGACATGTTTTTAAGTGTTGAATCACTTGTTTTCAAACCTCATCTCTTTCTTGTTCTATTTGTTTGCTTGAGGGCAAGCAAAGTTCAAGTTTGGGGGTGTTGATGTACTTGCATTTTACATAGTTTTAGCACATCTTTTATGCATCTTTTGCATAGTTTTAGCATCCATTTGCATCATATCTTGTTCCTTTTCTCTTCTTATGCATTCATGTTAGTTTTAGGTTGCATTTGCATACATATGCATGTTTGGTCCTTTGAAATAGGTCTTTTGGAGCATTCTGGAGCATATGGGACATAAGGAGCATGGAGGGACTTGGCACATGGAAGCAGCTCAACTGGATACGCAAAGGAAGAAGGGAGAAGCCATCTTGAAGACCAGCTCGACCGTCTACTCGACCAACCGGTCGAGTTCCTCAACTCGACCGGCCAAGCTTCAACTCGATCGAGCTGAGAAGTCAACAGTCAAACCCGAAAAATGTTGCTTCCCCCTTGACTTTCCTTTGACCCTAAACCTAATCCTCTTGTATTTAAAGGCTCTAAGCCACGAAAAAACCACCAAGCTTTAGATTATTTTGTTTTAGTTTCTTTTAATTTATTGTCTTTTACTTTTAGAGCTCTAATCCCATCTTTGTGTTCTTGAAGCTCTTGCTTCTTGAATCCTAGATCCTGGATAATCTCTTTGTATTTGCACTTGCTTATTTCAATAAAAGTTGTTTAATTTCATCTCCTCTTTCTTATGATGTCTCTTTTATTGCATTTGCTTGTGTTTACATTCATGTGTAGTGAGTAGTTACCCATTAGGGTTTGAGATGGGATAGATTAGAGGTTTCATATGCTTAATCCTTCTAGCTTATGGTCTTAATCTAGATTCTCTCTCTTTTGGATAGATCTTAAGGCTACATGACCACTACCCCTGGCTTGTAAGTCCTTAGGCGATTCCCCACACGAAAGTGATGGCATTCGCTGGAAAAGATCCACTAAGAGCTCCAATATCTCTTGCTCTAGAAATAGAGGTCTAAGGGGTTGGATGGATTAGTTTGGGCAATGATCCTATAGCCTCCAAGGTTTGATTCTCACTGGCTAACCCCCTGTTTCTGAGATCATTCCTTGGTTGATAGCCTTCACCTTGGGAAAGGGTTGGCTAGGCATTGAGAAGCCCAATATCAAGAGAAGCCTTGATACAAGGAGTTTTAAGAGCTAGATTGATTAAGTGTAGATTCCTTTGATTGCAAAACCCTGTCTTGAACCCTAATTCTCTCTTATCTTGTTAAAGTCGTCACCTTTAGCTTTTTGTCTCAACTCGACCCTAAACTCGATCGAGCTGGTACTCTGTTCTACTCGACTCGAGTCTTGGTCGAGCTGCTTGCACTGCTTTGTTTACTTTTATTGCACTGCATTTCATTTTTTTAGGTTGTTAGTGTTACCAAATCTATTACTGCTTGCTTGACTTTCTGGTTGTTTCATATTCTCATAGAGTGACAAGTTTCCCATTTTGGATTGATAACCTTTGTACTACACAACTATGATGGTTAAAGGGAATTGTTGACTGTGTTTGTGTTTGCATCTTACCACCTCATCATATACCACTGATTGCATTCCACACATCTCATTTCATATCTTTTCACATCCACACACAAATCCTATCATCAGTAGTTTACTTGTTAAGTGATAGGAAGTCAAAGGATAGCATTCATGAATGCTTGATGATTGATCACAATTAGGGTTTTACTTACAATCTCCATCTTTGCTTATACTTAATGCTTGTTGTTAATCTGGCCAATTAGCATATGCCTTTAGGTTGATTTGAGCCTCGACAGTGCTGTATCATTCGCCTGAACTAGTATTTGGTGGGCAATCTCTTTTAGACTGCGACAGTTGATCTACTTGTAGGTTGTGAACAATTGATCTTGATCGAACTAATGCTTGATTTAATCACCTAGGGACATACCAAAAGTTTAGCGACTAGGTAGATTAACAAAGGGGTCGGAGCCTCGACAGTGGAATGATCATACCATAGTGTTTCAAGTTCTAGATTAGCACCTAAGTGCGGTAACCCTAATTGATTGATTTCATGCTTCTTGAATTGCTTATCTCAAGACTATCCTATTGCTTAGCCTTTCTCTCCTATTGAATCCTTACTTTAATTACTTGCATGCTTTACTTTCTCTGCACTCAACCAACTTATACTTTTGCCCTAGCTTGTTCTCAAACTCATAACTTGTAGTGTGCAATCTGGTCCTTGTGTTCGATACCCGTTTACTACTTCTGACCTGTGCACTTGCAGAATCAGGGATAGGAAAGGGGAAGACCTGATCCCGCACATCACTGGTCTTCAAGGTGGCTTCCTCCTTCTTCCTTTGCGTGTCCAGTTGAGCTGCGTCCATGCACCAAGTCCGTCCTTGCTCCTCATGTCCCATATGCTCCAAAATGCTCCAAAAGACCTATTTCAAGGGACCAAACATGCACATGTATGCAAATGCAACCTAAAACTACCATGAATGCATAAGGAGAGAAAAGGAACAAGATATGATGCTAATGGATGCTAAAACTATGCAAAAGATGCATAAAAGGTGTACTAAAACTATGTAAAATGCAAGTACATCAGGGGTGTTGATATCCATATATATTAACATATCTTAGCATACTTTTACATGCATATTTCCACCTTCTAAGTCTCATTCTCATACATTTATATCCTATATCTCTATCTATACACTTGCATCTTCATTAGGACTTGCATTGCATATACATTGCATTTTGAGTCTGAATCAGGTACTTAATGGAGCTTTGGAGCCATTTGGGAAGTAGGAGTGTTGGAGACGTCAAGACGAAGAGCAACCAGGATGTGAACCAGGATCAGAAACCCGTTTGTCGCCTTACAAGCTTTCCTTGACCAAGAAGAGAGTTGACCATGCCTAAGTGAAACGCAGAGTTTTGGAGCTTAAATCTTGGGGAAGGAAAGAAGAAGGGTTTTAGAGTCTCCACTATATAAACTTAAAAGTCCTAAGATTTTAGGCATCTTGTAATTTGTCTTTCATTTTGCCACCAAGAAATACTCTAGTTCGAGATCTTAGACTTTGTAAGCTTGGATCTTTTCCTTTAATCTAAATCACGTACTTCTTTCTTTATTTTGTTCATTGCATCTCACTTACTTGTTGACAACCTTTCCTCTATTGGAATCGGTTTGTTAACCAGGATGAGTGAGTAGTCATTAGATCGTTTTAGGTTATTCGGTTCTGAGAGCTTGAAAGGAGAGTCTGAGTTTAAAGCTAGAACCTTTAGAGTTTCTCCTTTCTTAGTATCCTTAAAGCCCTGCCTTTTCTGATCATTATGGCTCGGATCTCAAGCTCTTACCACAGCAAAAATGTGTTTGAGAACTAGAAAATCTAAGATAAGGGATCTACTTCTCTAGCCCGCGATAGCGGTTTGTTTAGAGTCAATGGCCATCCATCTGAGCACCCTCTTGATCACATAGAAAACTTTGAAGAAATTTGCAGCACTACAAGATCCAATGGAGTCTCTGCTGACTACCTTAAGTGCAAGCTCTTTTCATTCTCTCTTGGCGACAAAGCTTCAAGATGGTTGAAGTCTCTGCCAGCTCACTCCATCACCACTTGGGATGAGTACAAGGCTGCATTCATCAACCACTTCTACACCAAACAGAGATCAATTTCTGTAAGGAAACAAGATCTCCACTTTCGCCAAGCCAACAATGAGTCTTTCTATGAGGCGCTAGATCGATTCAAGGAGTACATTAGGGACTGCCCTAATCATGGTTTCAATGAAGGAAACCTATGGAACATCTTCTATCGTGGCATAGACCACAAGTACAAGCTTTCATTGGACACAGCAAGCAATGGAAACTTCATGACCAAGACTGTTGATGAAGCTAAGGTTCTTATTGAGAATCTTGCAGCTAGTGATTGTAACAACTGTCCTGATTATGACCGCTCAAGCCGCACCACTACTAGCTCCCCTGATTCTTTTCAAATGACTGAACTCAAGAACATGATGGCTCAAGTTCTTAAGGGACAGCTCAAGCATATCAATGCAATAGAAGGGATGAGTGATGCTAATGAAGATTCATCAAGAGAATGCATGGGAGATTTCTCTAATGAAGCCAATGAAGAAGATGTGAACTACATTGGAAACTATGGGAACAAGGGATACAATCCAAGCTATCGCCCAAACCCCAACATGTAACACCCCCGAACCGTCCTAGGCACAGACGTTCCGAGAAGCGCCACAAAATGTCGATGTTCGCCGAATAGGCCATCCCAGACTAAGAACAAATCAGAGCCCAGGTCAGCCCGTCCCGCGAACTCGACCCTCTTGACCAAAGCCTAAGGCTTGCCAACCCGTACTTCGGTCAGGAGTTGTGTTAGCCCGGACCAAGCTAATATCATTGGAACATAAGGTCTTTACATAAAACTTTCCTTTATTAAAATATCAGAGTGCTTACAAAATCCGACTTAAAAACATGCGGATCGATCCTTAGTTCCAAACCAAACAACAAACCATAATTTTACAAAAACATACCACAAAACTATTCTGGCGCCTACTGCCTGCAGCGGTCCGCTCTACTTCACACCTCTACGGTCACCTGAAAACATTAAACAAAAGGAATGAGTAATCTAATATTACTCAGTGAGTCTAGGACCTCTATACAAGGGGGATTCCCTAAACTCCAAACACAAACGCCGCGGGCTAATCCCCGCCTCACCTGCATTGAGGTTAGCACAACACAACATATGCAATCACATGCATATGATGCTATAGCCTTAAGACTAACCGTACCCCAATCAAACAAGAACAGGTACGATCAATCCAAGACTATAACAACATCAAACAAGCAATCTATATGCAATGCCCATGCAAACCTAGACAAGTATCTAATACTTGTTTTCTATATGCAATAAGGCGCCTAGGTGCATTAGCCACATTCTCAGCCCACGCCTGTGAAGGTTCACGCTCATCCGGAATCACACAGAAACTAGATGAACGCCTTCACCCGGGCACTACAGTCCATCGCGGTACCCGGTTCATCCTTCCATCTATTGGCCTTACTGGCGCACCATGCCAATGTCTGGTTGGATCCCATATCGTCATATGGTACCATACTCGGCCAAGGCAGCTGACCAGGTTATCCTCCGAGTCTTCCTCCCTTCATGCACAGCCTCCACGCTGCCAATCCGGTTGGGCTCTGACGTGCGAGAATGCGCTTGACTACACCTTCCTAGACAACATGTGGTTAGACACGCCACATGTTCTCAGTACTTAGCATATGGGCCTTTACGCACCACTATGCCTCATACCCTCGGTTCTGCGGCAGAGCTTCCCTTGCCTCGGAAGAGTACCCACACGAACCTCGAAAGATCTGGCGGCTCAGCCGTCCGTGATCTTTCCACATCGGAGTCATACTCAACATATGGGCCTTACGCACCACCATGTTAGCATGCACTCGAGGTTTAGCGGCATAGCCATGCTATAACCCCACAACCGATGCATCTATGAGATTTGGCGGCATAGCCATCCACAATCTCACATCACCTAATGTATAGATATGCATCTACACTAACAAGATCTGACGGCATAACCTTCCCCGAAGGTTACCCATCACAATCTTACACAGAAAAGAGATCTGTTGGCATATCCTTCCCCGAAGGTTACCCAACACAACCTCACACACAAAAGAGATCTGGCGGCCTAACCTTCCCCGAAGGTTACCCGACACAACCTCACAACACAA